CCTCTCTCCCGTAACTCCTCATCTTTCTTGGACTGGGGAGCCCAGAACTGGACACAGTACTCCAGATGGGGCCTCACTAGGATAGAGTAGAGGGGGAAGGAGAACCTCCCTCGACCTGCTGGCCACACTCTTCTTAATGCACCCCAGAATGCCATTGGCCTTCTTGGCAGCCAGGGCACACTGCTGGCTCATGGTCAACTTGTCATCCGCCAGCACTCCCAGGTCCCTCTCTGCAGAGCTGCTCTCCAGCAGGTCAGCCCCGAGCCTGTAGTAGTGCATGGGGTTGTTCCTCCCCAGGTGCAGGACCCAGCACTTGCCCTTGTTGAACTGAGAACAAACTGTTGAACATTCATTCGCTTTAATACTCTTTAAAAATTGAGGCTGGGGTTTGTAAAAGATTATTATCTCGCAGAATTAAGATCTCTGGTTAAACACAAACTGTCTTACCCATTGAAGCACTGTGGGATAGAATGTGAATTGCTGTTCAAAAGTATTTTACTCCTGGTTAGGAGCAGTTATAGGATAGGAACCATTAGGTCATCTGGGAAAGCATATACCAAGTGTTTGCTAGGTGTCTGATCTGAATATGAATTAGCTGTAACTGCTGTGCCTCAGGTAGAGATTTCAAACAGTGGATCTTAAGGTCAAGAATTAGATCTGGCTGCGTTCTGTGTCCAGCGAAGCAGAAGGTTGTGAATTTTTCTCAGCAATAAGGAAACCTTTCCAGTAGAGTTTTTGACAGTATACAGGTTGTGGCATAAAGTATATGTGCTTCAGTCAGTAGCCGCAGAGAAATGTCTGTATTTTGTTAAGCAATCATCTTTTTTTATTTCCCTCCTTATTCTCACTACACAAACTGAACCTACAGAGGAAGCAAGTAGGTGACAGGTTTCTGTTGGCAAGTCAAGCTTTTAGCAGTAGAAGTCATCGGTTCAGTCTCTGGTATTGCCAGCATGATTACCCTTACCTTGTTGACGTGTTTGAAGGTTTAGAGTTATAAATTTTATAGGTGGGGATGAGAGGCCCAGTAGTTAATGGATAGACAGACAGATTAGGGCGTAGAATCTACTTTTGCAGCCACTTCAGTTTCTAGAAGTCCTTAAAAAGTAATTGAGCGATGAAGACAGTGAAAAATGATAGTCTTTTTCTTGGAGAAAGCCTCCAGCTATTACAAAGGAAACTTCACAGATCGATTTGTCATTTCTAAAAAAAGAGAGGAGGTTATTCTTAATGTGTTTATTTTTAAATGGAGATTAAAATTTCATAAGCAGAGTTTTGGTCATGTCAGCTGCTCATATTCTGCAGGTGCTTTAGAGTAGTTGGGAACAGCTTCAGCAATTCACTTATGGCGTGTGGTTCCTTAGGTAGATAAGAGTTCCTTTTTCCTTGTCTGGGCATCTGGACTTCAAGGTAAAAAGAAAACAGTTTTTAAAAAGTACCAAATGAGCGAACTATATTTATTGGCCTAGTAATATCTCAACAAATTTTTAACTCCACAGAACCAGAAAGGCACAGGAAGCTATGTTTTCTTCTTATTATCTGTAAGGCTTTGATAACTGTACAACAGCATTCCACAGGCTTTTCATTACCTTTGAAAAGTACTAGATGAATTTATTCCTTGAAATTGCATATGCATAAAAATCGTGATAGCTACCCTCAGTGTGAGGCTGTATGAACATATTTGTATACTATTTATGTTCTTTTGATATAACTTGTATAAAAATACTGATTCAGTGTTAAGGTTTTGTGTTAGATTTTTTGAAAAGAGAGATTTATTTCTTTATAAAGACAAGATTGTTCAGTTTCCTAAGTCCTTAACATTTCAGCTCTAAAGTATCTTAAAATATGCAGAAAGGATATGTAGAGTAACTTCCTGGGCTTACCTTGAACTTTCAAAAGCTCTGAACAAGATTCAGAAGCTCAAACCAGTGAAATTTTAATAAGGGTGTTCTCTGTCTGCCAGAGCAGCTCTGTCTTGTAGGTGCTTTGATAGCCCTATGTGATTTTGCAAAAATATTTTTAAAGTCTTAGTAGTTATTTTTAGGTTTTTTTTTAATACAATCAGTACATAGTATCAAGGTTAATGTATTCTTTTTGATTTTTCCACTCTTCTTTCAGGTCATTGAATACAACCCATCTCAGTGCCTGGATTGGCTGGCTGTCCAAACACCTCGAAACAAACTAGCTCACAGCTGGGTGCTGCAAAATATGGAAAACTGGGTTGAACGTTTTCTTCTGGCACACAACTACCCTAGAGTGAGAACTTGTAAGTTAATTTAAATTGAAGAAAATTATTATTGTGTTGTAGCAAGTTACTATGCATGTGGTATTCCTGTCACAAATTAAATACGTGCTTTTGTATTTGTCTTTCTTCCTTCTCCATTTGTTTTGGGATTGCTGTATTTTAAAATACTAGTGCAACTGTTGTGCCTCATCAAGACATGCTACCTGGTTTTGATGAAAACCATGCTTTGATTTTGTAACTTGAATGATAGATTACTAGGTTCTTTATCTTATGTGGTTAATCTACAAGATCCAGAAATACCCAAAGAAGAAAAAGAAATAATCCAAGAGGTTCTCAATAGTTTCCATCACATAGTTGTACTGTAGGTAGGAGTAGTACATGTTTGTCTTTCACTCACCACAGGGTAATCTTCAGTTGAGTCCTTTGAACTTGCGGATCGAGGAGAAGCAGCCTCTGCTTCTGCCCAACTTCAGGGTGTCCTGGCTCTCTAGTTTGTTCTGCCAGGAGTCACACTACCAGACCAAAATCACACTTTCAGCCTTTCCTGTGTCAAAATTTTTGTATAAAGGAGATTCCACAGTAACTGGACACTCTGAACTTTGGTACATTTTCTGTGGTTAAGGGAGATGTGGAAACTGGAGGTACAGCTTTGCAACAGATTGTGGTTGTAACTATCTCTGAAGAGGTAATCAAGCAGTATGCAGTTTAGTCATAGAAACATATGGCTTTGTATTTCTGTGATGGGATGCATTGTGTTACAATAGTTAGAACCAAGCAGCAGACAGGAATATAGGGTCAGGAGGCCTGAAAGCAAATTTCAACAGCACTTATAACATGCTAGTCTTACCCACTCTGATTTTTTTTCTTATCTCCATTGTGAATATAGCAATGCCAGATTCTGTAAAATGCTTTGAAATCTGTAAATTGAACAGACAATGTAGATTAACTTCTCATTTAAATGACTGTTAAGCACTTGTGTCATTTTTCAAAGGTGTAACAGATTTATTTCTATTTGAAGCCGCAGCCTATCTCTTGGTGTCGCTTATTCCAAGCAATTCCTTCCCTCCTACAGTAGTTCTCCATCAAGTCTACAATGTGCTTCTTGGCCTTCTTTCAAGAGCTAAGCTATATGTTGATGCCGCTGTCCATGGCACTACAAAACTTGTCCCCTACTTCAGTTTCATGACATACTGTTTGATCTCAAAAACTGAGAAACTCATGTTTTCTTCTTACTTCATGGACTTATGGAACCTTTTCCAGCCTAAACTTTCTGAGCCAGCTATAGCAACCAACCACAACAAACAGGCTTTGCTGTCTTTTTGGTATAATGTGTGTGTTGACTGTCCAGAGAACGTACGCCTTATTGTACAGAATCCTGTGGTGACGAAGAACATTGCCTTCAATTACATCCTCGCAGACCATGATGATCAGGATGTGGTGCTCTTTAACCGCGGGATGCTGCCTGCCTACTATGGCATCCTGCGCCTCTGCTGTGAGCAGTCCCCTGCATTCACCAGGCAGTTGGCTTCTCACCAGAATATCCAGTGGGCCTTTAAGAATCTCACACCACATGCCAGTCAGTACCCAGGAGTAAGTAGATTGATACCAAAAAATACCATTTCCTTCTTAGTATTTGCTGTCTTGCTGAATGCCTCTTTTAATGGAGGAGATGAAGACAGCTGCTTAATATATCCAGTAGTGAAAGTATTATGTTTTGATTTCCTAGTGTAAAGTATTAATAATGCATTTAGATCATATTACTGTACTTTGTGGGGGGATTGGTTTGGATTTTCTTATTTTTTTTTTGTGTAGCAGTTGGAAAGCAGATGTTTTTTTCTGGAAGCAGACACTGTGGTGTTTTCACTGTTTTATAATATTCTGTACGCCAGTCTAGTCATACGAAACAGGGAATAGCCTTTAAAGTCTGTAGTCTCAGGAAAGCGTGTTGCATTCTAACACACTAAGTTGGAGGAATTCCTAGTGAGTTTCTTCTTTGCTTTCAGTTTCTGGAATAGGGCTAAGATTTAGCCTGTTGTATTCAGAAGGAAGATTTCCTGGTGTTCACCTTGGGAATGTTTGTGTACCTTTTGCAAAATGTTGGTACACTGGGAGTTGCACTATCTCTACAACTTTATGAAACTTGCAGTAGAGAGTAGATAGTAGTTAAAATAGTCCATGTATAAGAGTGAAAAAGTAGGCTTACGTAGTTTTTAAGTGGCAAAATACGCATTTTTGTATGATTACTCAGAGAATATTGCTTTGGGGTTCTTTATAGGTGTACGAGGACGAAAGAATACAAAGATTTTCTTCAGTATGTAGAGGAGGAGAATGCATGAAATTTTCTGTGTTGAACTTCTGTCTAGTTCAGCTCACAGCGTAACTTTATACTCTTGACAGTCCTGGGAGTAGTCCTGTTTTCATTGTTTGCATCTCTGCTTGGAAGTCTCAGTTTGTCTTGCTGGGGACTTCAGTTGTTCCACTGTGCTTAGTGTTTCCCATGCATATGGGACTTCAGTGAGTTTTGGCAGAAGCAGCTTTCTGAGTTCTGTTGCTTAGAATGTAATATTATCATCAGAGAATGTGTATACCCATGTACCACGTAGATGACCCTCTACATTCCTTAAGGAAAGCCAGGAATTTTTGTCACATGGATCAGAATTTCAGATTCTTTTATGTATATATGTGTGTATGTGTGTGTGGCAATGAACTGTGCTGTTAGGAAGCATTAAAACATCCGTTTAAGGTTCAGAAGGGTTATCTCAGTTGTCTGTGTCCTAATCCACACAGTAAATAGTAAAAGCTAAAAGCAAACTGCATTCAAAATAGGTAAGAAATAGCCACAATTTCTATGTCAGAATTTTAGTTTTTAAGAGCAATTTAGTTTTATTTAAGGTTAAAATGTTGTTTGCTAATCTTATAACTTTGTTGTAATGCTTAAAAATGTATTCCCATCTAAGTTTGCTTACATATGTTTGTTCTGTGTGTTACTTAGTAGAAGTAATACACAAGAAGTAATACAAATAAGAAATAAACCATAACATACTGAGAGAGATTACTCTAACCTAATATTTTTGTGCGTTTTAGGCAGTAGAAGAGCTGTTTAATCTCATGCAACTGTTTGTAGCTCAGAGACCAGACATGAGAGAGGAAGAGATAGAAGACATAAAGCAATTTAAGAAAACAACCATAAGCTGTTACCTGCGCTGCTTGGATGGACGGTCTTGTTGGACTACTTTAATAAGGTATGTTAGTAGTGAAGCTGTAGTGTAATAATCTAATCCTGTTTGAATAAGAGCTATGTTTTACCAAATATGAAGTAGAATAAAAATTAATGTTGTTGTTTTGATACTCTTCGTGAAAAAGTTTTGTGAATACTTTTATTCAGAAGTAAACAAACAGAAAGTTACAATTATAACTTCTTTTTTTATCCATTGTTTGTGAATGTAATGTATTTTAGAATATTTCATCATCTAAAAATTCTGAAACTAAGCAAATATTTTACAATAAACAGGTGTAAACGAAGATACATGTTGTCAGGGTTCAAAAAGAAACACCATGACAAAACTGAACTAGTAGAGCCCTTGAAAAAAAACATTAAAAAAAATTAATCAACGTTCCAGTTCAGTATTTAAGATTAAATTCAATTCTCAGCCTACCATGATCAGTCTAGATTGGCAAAGGAGTAATTTCAGCTGCTGTTGCTGACATATGTTATTCTTGGGCAGAAATGTTTTTTAGAAGTATTGCCTGTGGGACAGAGTTTTATTGTGTCATATCTTCAAATACTTTTTCATTTCTAGTCTGTTGTAGTAGTATATCTGAAACTGTTTCATGGGTATTTTCAGTATAACTATAAATTACCTGTCTATCTAGGTCACATATTGGGGTTTTAAATGCAACCGTTGAAGCATTGAAACACTCTTGTGAAAAGGGAAAGTGGCGTGGGTTACCTGAAGGGATTACATACAGTCATCTGTCAGAGAGCACAACCAGATTTTCCCGAAAGGTCTAGAAGAATTGTTATGTTGAGAGGAACGTTCATTAGCATAATCCTTTATTTTCTGTTCTGTTGTAAGCATAAAATACTCTGATAGAAATGTTTTTACACATTTAAAAGTCCAAACGTATGCTTAACTGAACCTATTTAAATGTATCATTTGACAAGCATAAACTTCTGTCTTTTCAAGTATATTATTTTCCTCAGTTTTAACATTTTTGCAGGCATTATTTGGGAAATATTTCTGTAAAGGTTGTTTATAAATTACTTTCGATCACATAAAGTTGACATAAAGGAAGTTGACATCAGAGGCATTTTTAAATGAAAAAGTGGGAAAGAAAAATGAAGAGAATAATTATGTTCTTTTGGAGTTTCTTTGTTCTTCTTTGATTGTTTTCCAAAATACAGCACGAGCAGAAGAATTTTAAGCATTTGTATGAATTCTGAAAAGATGATACGTAATTTTCAGGGTTCTCAGTGTTTGGATTTTTTTTCCTAGTGCCTTCAGAATATTATTAGAATCTGATGAAGACAGACTTCTTGTTGTGTTTAACAGAGGATTGATTCTGATGACTGAGGTAAATGCTTTGTTATTTAATTATAATAAACATCTTGCTTTTTCATCAGGTCACCCCTTCCTTCCTGACAATGTGTTTGTTTTAAATTGTTTTAATGTGGTATCATATGAAATAAATGAAATATGTTGATTAAGTACTGGCATACATGTAAAACCTTAAAATCTTAAGGATCATAGGAAGGGCAAAAAAAGATTTACCAGACATTTTGTATGTCTAAACACTAATGTAGAAGTTTAAGTCAGTAAATTTGAGGGAATACAAATATACAGTGATTTGGTAGGATAACGATAAAACAATGCAGCTTAAATGGGAAAGATGAGCAAGAAATAAAAGGGTCATGTGTCATCTTGTATATCGAGGACAGATACAATTGCTGTAAGGTTCATAGTGGATAGTAAATTAAGTCTACTGAAAAAGTTGCAACTAGTAAGACATGTCAAGATTGGTAAGAAATCAGTCTTGGCTTTCTTCACATAAATACTTCCCCATCATCTTTAAAAAGATTTCTTTAGTGGTAAAAAGAAGATCTGGAAAATGTTTGCCTGCTTGTCAAGATGGAGGGGAAAGGTACCAACAAATTATGTTGAGAGAAGCGAGTTTATGGTTTTATTGTGTCATTCTCTATTACAGATCAGCTGTGAGTGAATGGCTGAGCAGTGACACAATTATTACTGGTTAAGAAGTGTTAAGGCAACAGATCAAAATACACAGATAACTGAAAGGATACTCACATGCAATTGTTACTAATGTTTCTGAACACTTCTTTGAGGCACTTCTGAGGCAATTGTCCCTGTTTCCTACCTATTATGTTTTGTTTGCAAGAAGTGGTCTAAGAACACACAAACTAGATTTCTTTCCGATGAAACTAAACCTAAAATGCATTTCTGGAGCACCTATAGTGTATTCCAGTTGTAAATAGACATTTAGTCCTTGAGACCAGACTGGAGTTAGTTCAAAATAGAGAGGAAAAAAAGAACAAATAACACAGCCCTGAAATGGGTGCGGTTTGGATGTCAAGCCCCTGCCCACCAGTGCTTTTGCTCTACAGATCCACTCGTGCTGTCCTGCAGTAATGTTAGGAAAAACCTAAAAGACGTTGCTGAAAAAGCACTGACCTGTTAGTAGCTACTTTTTCAAGATGAGTGACGTACCAAGAAGACTGAAAAAGGGCACACACGGTGCTTATCTTTTAATTTTCTCTTTTGTTTTATTTTGTTCTTCTTAAAGATGGGTGTAAGATCTTGGATTCTATTCAACACTTCCATTACTGAGTTGATGGATGAGAACGTGTGTTTATTAAATGTATTGGCAATGCAAAATGGGGAAGGATGCTAGATCCTTTTGAGCACAAAAGTTAAAATCAAGGATGTCTGGATATGTTGGAGAAAGTGTAAAAATAAAATGCAGTTCATTCTTGGCGTATATAGAATGGTGTATTCAAAGAGGGATAATAAACTGGTAAAAATCCATGGTGCAAGACAAGTGGTTAAGGGGTAGTTGTAACTGTGCAATAAATGGGATATTGGAATAGATTTCTTCAGAAGGTATCAGCCAGCACAACTGGAATTCATCAGGAGCACTTTAAGCAAACATCTGTCAAGGATATATGCCTTAAGGCATATGGATGGGCTAGAGGATGCTTTGAGGTTGATTCCAACACCATTTTTATATGGTTTATATTTTAAAAATCTCTCTTTTATGTCATTAGTTTGTATTTTCTGGAACAAAGTGTGATAGAAAACACTGAAATTACAAAATCAGTTAGAAAAATATAAATTAAGACACTGCAGTACTGTTTGAAAATTGAGTTTTCACGAGCTTGTTACAAGTGTAAGCCTTTTGATTAACTATAGTTAGTTAGCTAGCTTACATGCAGTAAACTTGAGCTAAATAGTTAGGAACTGAGCTGTAACTTTATTCATACATGAAATTTGTAAGTAGACTAAGATACATGCAAACATATGTATAAAAAGAACTTGTTTAACAGCTTAGTTAAGCCTGATCCATAATAACAATGGATAATTAAGTTTTTAAAGAATGTGTAATATAAGATGCAATTTATCCTATGTAAAACATTGCTAGAAATTAGCTGAAACTAATGTCCAGCTTTTAGCTGAGTTGCTTTACAGCTTGAAACTACTAGGCCTTGTATTTTTACTTGTTCACTGGAAGTGTTTTGCGTGATGAGAAGTATTGCATCAAGGAGTTGTCATATCTAGAAAAGTTTTCAATTTAGCAGCGATGGCCATGTATCTTTTATCTTCACTATAATATAAAAACGGCATATCAAGATTTTGCATTATAGGGAATGAGATGACTGTTTCTTTAAAATATCCCCACAGATTAAATATATTTTCTTACATCTTGTGCTAGAATTTTTGCAGTTCGGAAATGCATTGGTTTTCCTTCCCAATATTTCTATAAATCACAGATGCCAACAAGATATTTTAGTTACAAAGGGAGAAATAATTCATCTGATGTATGATCATACAGCATGTGTCCTTAAGCAGCATTTTGAAAAATGACTAGCATCTATATTAATCTTAGGGGTTTTTTCCCCAAGTTCACCTACCTGTATCTGTCTTTATGCACCTCTAATATCACTTTGTTTGTTGGCACAGAAAGATTGGAATTACAGATACATAAAAATACCATGTCTCTAATGATGCTTTGCTTGTTGGGTTTTAGAGAAATGTTAGTATGTGTGAAAACTTTGTAATTGTATTGAGCCACTAATAGAAAGGTTTTATCTCAAAAACAAATTAAGGCTGGTTTTAAATGTCTTTCTCTATAAGCTGTATTTGGATGTGCTCACAATGCTCATTTCTAGAGTTGAGATGGGTGGTAGCTACTTATAGTGGGGTTATTGTTATAATAAATTTTACAAATTCAGTTTCCCTCTGGCATGCACATGAGAAAAATTTAATATGACTCTAGTTTTTGGGTTCGGTGAGAACAAAAATCTAAAAATCTTACTTTTTTGGCCTAAAGCAACTTTCATTTTAACCCCCCATACAAGGCTGCCTGTTGTTCATTGTTACCAGATCTGGATATCCAGGTCAACAATTATATTTGGTTTTTCTGGAAGATACCTGGTTGTTCATTTGTTTGCTCTCTTTCCTTCTCTCTGTCTGTCCCTTTCCCTTCCTCATCCCCTGCCCCTTTTTCCTTTTTTCTTTCTCTCTTTTTTTTTTTTAGTATATTTACTGTGAACAAAAAATCCTTATTTTCTATACAGATTTATTCTCTTTTTAAATGTGCTTATCTTTGAGTAATTTTGTGATTACATCTAGCACCAGGTATTTTGATACATCTTTTTTGAGCATAAACTAAATGTAAATGTGGTGTCTGAGGAGAGAAATAGAAATGATAACAAGTCTGTTAATTTGGCGACACAAAGTTTTGGCTTTTTTTTCTTATAGTCCTTTAACACATTGCATATGATGTACCACGAGGCCACGGCTTGCCATGTGACTGGAGACCTGGTAGAACTTCTGTCTATTTTCCTTTCGGTTCTTAAGTCAACACGTCCATATCTTCAAAGAAAAGGTTTGATTAGAACTTTTCAAAGGATTATGTCTGTTGACTGTTAATTAATTTTCATGACCCAAAAGCTAGTATTTTATCTTGCTTATTATCTGTGTTTGAAAACTTCCCATACAGTAGGAGATATGATTACTAACAGTTATTAAATTGGTACTTATTAAATTATTTATTGACATAATATGAAACTAGGTTAAATAAATTTAACAGCAGTAGATCAGTAAGATTCAGCAGCTTTCTAGATTGATTAAAATCATGCTAGGGGAAAAAGAGATTCTTCAGCAGTAGAATTCTGTGCTTTATTTAATGAGCTTTTGAGATATCAACTAAACTGATTTCTGTGTTTTTTGTATTTGCAGATGTGAAGCAAGCTCTCATTCAGTGGCAGGAGCGAATTGAATTTGCCCATAAGCTCTTAACTCTGCTAAATTCCTATAGTCCTCCAGAACTTAGAAACACTTGTATTGGTAAGTTGTAATAGTGTAACAGTTACCCGCTTTGAAATTTAAATTCCATTTTTGCAAGTGCAGATGCTTACTAGATACTTGGTAGATCGGGATTGTTTCTATTAATATCATCAATACCTCAGTATTGCCATTGTTCCTATTCTAAATAATTCTGTTTTCATCAGGTTACAATTAATATTCCTGCTTCCCCAGGCATGCAGACTGCACAAAAAGTCAGCCTTCATTTTGAGAGACCAGTTTGCTACCTGATAAGGGGCATGATTAAGGAAATAACTCCTGAATTCAGGTGTCAGTGAGTTTAGAATCAAATCCCAAATCTTACATTAAAATACTAGCTAACACTGCACTCAGAAGGATGCGTGGTGACCAAGTTAGTCTGAATAACAGCTTTTAGTGTTTGTTTTTATGATCCATTACTGGAAGGTATAGTAATCAAAGTAAAGCTTAAATAGCTTGTACAATTGAATGGATTTGCTTTTTAAAATTGTGGGCATAGACATTATATAGATGTCTCTCTCTTGCATTAGAAGACCTATTTTAAAAAGTTTTTCTAGTTTAGGGTTTTTTTAATGTTATTTAATGGATATAATCTGTATTTCTATGCATGCTGATGAAGGCCTAAAACTCTGTCTGAATTACCTTTTTTTGTGTGATTTGTATGCATTTTCCCCTTATTTTGAGTGCCTTTCTCATCATCCTTCTGACTGCTGCTAGTTGATTGTTTTCCAGGCATCAAACCTGGTATGTTTAAAAAGGTGGAAAGAGGGTAATTTTACTGAGCTTCCCCTTTCTGCAAGCTGGCACCCCTCTCACTGGTGGTTGATCTACCACTGAGCGGGTTTTCTCCCAGTGGCAGAGGTGAAGGGGGTCTTGACTGATTCACTTTATGCGCTATTCACAGTAAAGCCTACCTGCACAGTGCACACCAAGTGCCGCAAAAGTGGTATGAGAGTTTGCAAATGCATGAGCCTTAAGTTAAACTGTTTGCTGTTAAGAAATAACAATATGTAATAGCAAAAACAACTTTTTGTTTGTAGATGTCCTCAAGGAGCTTGTACTTTTAAGTCCTCATGATTTCCTACATACTCTGGTTCCATTTCTACAGCACAATCATTGTACATACCACCACAGTAATATCCCAAGTAGGTATTTCAGTGATTGTATTTTGAAGTTCTCTTACACTATTATTACTCTAGCATGTTCCTTGCTGATGTCAAATATTGACTTTTTTTATATATCCTTATTTTATCCTAACTTGTACTACAGTGTCTCTTGGGCCTTATTTTCCATGTCGTGAAAATTTGAAATTAATAGGGGGAAAAAGCAATATTCGTCCTCCACGTCCTGAACTTAATATGTGCCTCTTGCCTACAATGGTGGAAGCCAGCAAGGTATGTAAATATAAGGTCTTATAAATAGCTGTTTCTCAGTTGTCTTCCTTTTTATTAAAATATTGTAGGAATCCAGTAGCATAATGCATCTATGTGGTAATTCTTCTTCAAGATGTGTTGTCCTCATATACTCCTCCATTCTAGATGTGCACTCCAGAAGCACCATTTCCCTGCCCTTGGTGATACACAGCTTCATATTCCAGACATGATAGGGGTTTGAACCTTGTATTCAGATAAAAACAAAACACAGATTTTGATAATCATCGAATCTGTTTGTGGCATTTATAAAGAAAATTCAGAAACTGTCCAGGGATTGTCCAGATGGGTTTCAAAGTATGTTAAGATTTATTACCAGGCAACCAGATAGGTCCTACAGGTTTCATTAGAGTCCATTCAACCGGGACTGAGGCATAATCTACTAATTGTTTGGGTAAAATACCAGTACCTCACATACCGTATAGGGCTTTAAGTCTTTCACTTTCCATTTTCCCCTCTGTGGGCTTCCTGATGGGATGCCAGCTTCAGTGGCGCTACTTTGTAGTTACTTGCCACGTCCCATTCTTACAGTTGCAGCAATGGTGGGATTCAGCTCACGTAACTTTGCCTATCTAAAAGGTCATTGTCCAGCTCTTTATATGGTTAATGGCGATAAGTAGTTACCCTGGGAAGGGGATAAACAGTTACCCTCCTTCCTGTCCTAGACACCCAAGTCCAGATGAGGTGACTCTTCCTCTGGAGGAGTCCATCTCTCTCTCCATTGACTGCAGGGAATACTGAAATGCCTAGATTTTAGATAGCTAAAGTCAGGTAAGGTGAATCCCACTCTAAAAGGAATATGTATGGACAATCATTTGAAGAAGAAAAACTGGTTACTTGCTGTACAGTAACTGTGGTTCTTCAAGATGCTTTGTCCACACAGATTCTGTGGTTCTCCTCCTGTGCTAACTCCGAGTCCTGTCATAGGGGCTTCTTATCGGTGAAGGAATTGAGTGGTGGTTGAAGCCGCCATACCCCTTATGCCCTCAGGTACAGTGGTCGCAAGGACACACTGGGTGCAGGCACAGCCCCAGTGGACACTGCTATTCAGAAAGAATCCAATCTCCTGCACATGGGGCCTATGTGCACGTAGATGGGAATCTGTGTGGGCAACACATTTCAAAGAAGCACAGTTACTGTAGGGTAAGTAACCCTTCTTTTTTAAAGCTTTCAAAATGATGCTTTGTATATTTGTGCACCATCAAATTTACTGTATAACCAAAGTTTTTTTTTAAAAATACATAGAGCCAGAAATGATCTGTAGTGGTTTTTCCCATCATATATCCAGAGTTAAGGGATGTGACACTAAATAACGTAAATATTTTAACTTCAAAAGTTGTTATATGACACAGTATTTTACACTTTCTAATTAAGTCATATACATTAGGGACCAGAAGATTTTTTTAAGCCTCTAAAACCACATCCACAATTACATTTCCCTGTGGTTTTGCATGCTTATTTTTCGTTCATTTGTTTTGTGCAAGATTGCATTTGTTTGCTTGAGTCTTTGAGATTTCCTTTTGGCTATCTGGTCTATGGAACCTGATGCCATTTTAAGCATGTACATCCGAAATATATTAAAATATTGGCACACAAACCCTTGGCATGTATTTATCATTTGGTTTGAGACATTCCTGAAAATACTGCTTTGAAAGCTTGTGAAGCTCAGTCTTTAAAAAAATCTGAGTTCTGTAGACAGTAACTGACAGATTATGATTTTAAAAGCAGTAGTGTACATATGTTTAGGTATCTGTGTATGATTTAAAATTACTGCGTTCTTTTCTTGTCATCTTCAAGATGTGGTATTTGTGCAGCTTTGCATCTTCTCAGTCTGTTGATTCAGAATCCTACAATAAAAGTTTTTACTGGTGGGGGAATTGCATTTGCCATCCCCTCCTCTGACCTCACTATTATGCTTGCCAAGTGCTCAGTGAGGAGACGCAGCTGGCCTGGGTTAGACCTGGAAACTCTCATCATGTTTTCCGGTAGTATTTAATTAAACATTTTAGGGCAAGAAATGCAGTAACATTAAACTAGATGCCTAGGACATCCAGTTGCTTATGTAGTTTAAATGAAGCTCTCTTAAATCTTCAGGGCAAAGATGATGTTTACGATCGTATGCTGCTAGACTACTTCTTTTCATATCATCAGTTCATCCACCTGCTATGTCGAGTTGCAATCAACTGTGAAAAGTTTACTGAAACTTTAGTTAAAATGAGTAAGTATGAAAGTTAAACAGCCTAAGGATTTTTTTTCTGTGATAACTGAGAGTGCTTCTTCACACAGTTTTATATTGAGAATTTTGAAGAAAAAGCAGAGCTTGTGAAACTTGCTGCATTAATCGTTCTGGACATTATTTTTATCCACAAAACTGTATGGGGTATATAATGTAGTGCAGTCTTACCTGCATGACTGTCACACTTCAGGCCTGTCCAGAAAGGCTGAGGCAACCAGTGAGAATTCAGTCTCCTTGCACATTTAGAGTTTAATACAGGATTCACTGAAACATCCCCCCCCCGCCCCAGTTTGGCAGTTTAAATAGCTTTGGATCAGATCCTGAATCCTCAGCATCTCTGCCAATAGCATTAGTTGGCAGTCTGTCCAGGTGCATATGTGACTACCTAGACAGCTGCAACTGGCACTGGTTCTGTTGTCACCAACCCAGGTTTATTTTACTCCATAGTTTTGGGAACCATCACAACATTTAATGAAGTTCATAACCATACAGTCATGTCGTTTGTACCTGATGTTTGTTTCAGCCCTGCTGGTAGATACCACCGGTATTTGGATTTCTTCCTGTCACAATGCAACCTATTTTGTTGGTGTGTGAGCAAGGCGCTCATGGCTTTATCTGTCTGACAACTCCGGCCACTCAGATGGCTCTGCAGGAGAGCATCCTGCTTTGAATTGCCATGTTAAGTCCATGTGCTACCCCTGAGGCGCATTGTGGGGGTTTTTTTGTCTTCCACCACAGATCTTAGGATAAGCTGAGTTACCCAGTGTGGTAGGTGCAGATGCACAAACCTCAGTGTCGCACAAATAGCTATTAGGTGGAGACACACACTGGGAGCCATCTCACTTCAGTTGTCTAAAAATTAAGATGTGTTGCCAGATTTTTCTCTGTAGTCAGTGGAGAGACATAGGTTCCTTCCAAGAGAAATTCATCTTCTGATTCTTAAATATCTTAAGCAGAATGACCCACCTTCTGAAAATACCTGCTTGTTTTCTTGTTTTCTCTGCCTGTAGAAACTGGCTAGCTAGTAGCTATGATTAAATACTACTTCTAGACAAATAAAACTATACAAAATTAATGTTATCCAAGGACTGATGAGATCAAAATGTTCTTTTGATCCCCTGAATCACCCATCTGCTTGTTTGTCACACTCTTCTGATTGTAACTCTAGCATTACTAATATTTACTATAGATTGTGTTAGTTATAAAGTGTACTGGGAATGTGCATGGTTTGCTATTGTTCACTGTATCCCTTAACTCCTTCATGGTCTAAGTAACAATGGTGCTTGGGTTAATAATGAAGATTACCCTTTAAAAATTATATGCCGTTTTTAAAAAAAGATATTTAAAACCTTTAAGTGCTGTAGCTGATCAGTTGAAAATGTAAGACGGTAATAAAATAACCTACTTACAAACGCAGAACTAAAGTCAGCTCTTTAGCTTTTATGTTTCACAGAAATGCTGAAGGGATACATGTATTTATTAAATGTGCTGTTAAAACTTCACAGATGATAGGTCTTTCTGATTATAAAAAATGCTTAGAATGTGGTCTTAAAAAACAATATGGCACCGCACCTTGGTACTACTTTTATCAGGAAGAGAGAATCTCCAACAAAATTCTCACACAGTAACTTATTTTCTGATAAAATTTCAGGTGTCCTAGTTGCATATGAAGGTTTACCACTTCATCTTGCGTTATTCCCCAAACTTTGGACTGAGCTTTGTCAGACTCAGGTAAGAGTCTGTGGGTTTGAGAACTAACGGAACAGAAATACAGGCAAAATACAATGAATGTGAAACAGAGATTAACCCACAAATTTTAACTAGTGGGTATGGTTTAATCATTCAAAATACTAGCATTTTGAATAGAAAATACCTCTTCTTATGTTGCCTGTCATCTGATAAAACCTGCTAAATTAAGTATAAAAGTCTAGCAAATTGTATTTGATCCCAGTCTGCCCCAGGTCCTGCAAAAACTTAGGCAGCAACTTCACACAGTACATAGTATTGGCAGGATGGTAGTCTGTGTGGTGTCCAAAAATTACTTCATCCTGCCCTGTGAATTCCCAGCTTTTTATGTATCATAAACACTGATATGATGAATTAAAAATTGGTAGGTCTCTAAGTCAGGCTATCGTCATGTGTCCACTGCAAGCAGTAACCTTGGCATCTCTGCAGGAGGACCCTGTAGTTGGCTCACAGGTTAGGAGGCACCAGCCCTTCACATACATACTGATTGTGATAAACTGGCATTCCTACGGAATAAATTCATAAAATGTGCAATGATAATTGACAATAATTAATTTGTACAATTTACTGATAGCTGATAAACTTGAAATCTTTTTATCAGTAAGAATGGTCCAGTATGAATTACGAACATCAGTGGGCCTGGTTAGAGGTCTCCAGCTGAGACAAGCATTGCAGACAGTGCTACTGCAGTGCCACACTTCCAGTGATGACTTTGCAGTCTTCTCTCTCTCTTCACCAGTCTGCAACATCAAAGAACTGTGTAAAGCTTCTCTGCGAAGATCCAGTTTTTGCAGAATATATAAAATGTATTTTGATGGATGAAAGGACTTTTCTGAACAACAACATTGTGTACAACTTTTTGACCCATTTTCTTCTAAAGGTAGATGGTCTTTGGCAATTTCTATTTCAAGAAATGCAGTCATATGTTCTTTCAGTTTAGGATACTGTTTTAACAGTTCTATTTTTTTGTGGTTTAAAAAAAAACCACATTCTTTTCACAGGTCCAAGGGCAGGTGTTTTCTGAAGCAAACTGTGCCAACTTAATCAATACTCTAATTACAAATCTAATAAATCAATATCAAAGCCTAGAATCTGACTTCAGCAACCAGAGAGTTGAAATTTCCAAAGCAAGCTCTACTTTAAATGGGGTGAGTCTGCTTGAAGCCATTCAAATATCAACATCATTTAGGAGGCAGCTTATTTTCTGTGGAAACTCCTCAGCGCTATGTGCCAGGTTCTGATTAAAGTGGTGGGCATTGTTAGCTCAACTTTGTAAGCTGCACTCCTGGTGAGAGCTTGGGAGGCTACCTTAGTTGCCTGGCTGGAAATGTTAACCAACAAGACAGTCATAAATTTATGGAGCAGCAATCTGAGCTATCTAGAATTCTCCATTTCATCTCAGCATGCACATACGTGGGTCTCCCAAGCTGATGGTGGGGGCCACAAGACTGGGAGGAGGGTAGCTGATCGTGGAAAAGAAGTAATGCAAACTGCAGTAGAGTTCATTGTAGAAATGTTCTAACCCAGCAGAAGATTTCGTCTTACACTGAGCAGCACAGTACTGTCATCTGCTTAGGACAGAACTATGTTAAGATCAGCATATTAGTAGTGAGTGGGAAATTTCAGTAGTGTAAGTATACTTAGAATTTGATCTTTTGGATGTTCAGAATGTGTTGAAGTCTCTGCCTTATTGCACAGACCTGTCAGTGTGTAGGATTAATCAAATATGAGTTTGAAATAAGGCCACTTGAGTTTGCTTACTTCTGTTTTTTCAGGACCTCCGAGCACTTGCCTTGCTGCTTTCAGTGCACACTCCCAAACAGCTCAATTCAGCCCTGATTCCAACTTTACAAGAGCTTTTAAACAAATGTAGAGCTTGTCAACAACAGAGGAACTCATTGCAAGAGCAAGAAGCCAAAGAAAGAAAAACTAAAGGTTTGCCTTCTATAATCACGTCACTCTAACAATTCTAAACTTCTAAAGTTTTATAAACTTTTACAAAATTAATGTAATGCATTGTTTTCTTACCACTGCAGGGTGGGCCATTTCTTGGCTCCAATCCCCAACACTACATTTTATTATGGAGCTAAAAGTCTAGGCAATTACATGAATTTTCTGTAAGGAAATAAACATTTATTAAAGTACTGTGTTTAATATGGAAAAATATAAAAATGTGAAAGGCCTGTCACTTGGATGTATGGCATGAAAACAATGAGTTTTCCCTAAGCAAGTTTTCCTTTTCCTTACAGATGACGAAGGAGCCACTCCTGTGAAGAGAAGACGGGTCAGCAGTGATGAGGAGCACACTGTGGACAGCTGTATCAGTGATATAAAAACTGAACCCCAGGAGGCGTTGACCCCAACAAGCACTTCAGATAACGAGACACGGGACTCTTCGATCATTGATCCAGGCACTGAGCAAGATCTTCCTTCCCCCGAGAACAGTTCTATCAAAGAGTACAGAATGGAAGTTCCTTCTTCATTTTCGGAAGACCTAATGATAGTGACACGGTCACAGCACATGGAAGAGCAGTCAGGAAACAGTAAATTTGAAGAATGCAAAGAATTCAAAGACCTTCAGACTTCCAAGGATTCCACTGGAGCTGAGGAGGACTCAGAGTTTCCTTCCACGTCAGTTTCAGCAGTTTTATCTGACCTCACAGATTTGAGGAGCTGTGATGGTCAAGCCTTACCATCCCAAGATCCTGAAACTAGTTTATCAATCAGTTGTGGCCATTCCAGAGGACTTCTTAGTCATATGCAGCAGAATGACGTTTTAGACATCCTGTGTAGGACCATTGAGTCTACGATTCATGTGGTCACAAGGATATCGGGAAAAGGAAACCAAGCTGCTTCTTGACATTAGATGGAGCATGTTGCTTTTAAGCCTTTTTTATTTTTCGTCCCCAAAAATGCTGTTTGTATAAGTTTTGCTAATTTCTATTTTGTGCTTCAGTTTGTCCAGTGCTTTCTGCTTGAATGGCGAGATAGATTTATATGCTTAATTCTTGGTCAGGCAGAACTCCAGGGGTGGTGGGTTCTTTTGTTTGTTTTGTTTTGTTTTTTGCATCTACCATACACTTTCCTAAAGGGCAATCAGATAATGGATACGTTTTATGTAATTAAGAGTTCACTGTAGTGGCTTTCATTTAATATGGCTGTCTGGGAGAACAGGGCTTCCTTGCCCTGTATGATGTAATTTAAACTTACGGCATTTTTACTGTGTATAATATGGTGTCCTCTGTGCCAGTTTTGTACCTTATAATAGAGGCAGAGTGCCTCAGATCGCTGTGGTTCTTATTATCAAAATTAAGTTTACTTGTATACTAAACAACCACAAGAAATTTGATTCTGTAAAGAATCCTCTTTAGCTGTGGCCTGGCAGTATATATATGGTGCTTTATTTAACAGAATACCTGTGGAGGAAATAAAGCACACTTGATGTAAAATTAGTTGTTTTATTTTTATTGACGATTGCTATTCTGTGCACTTCATTAAACTGACTGCGATGACTTTTCATTTGTTTATGCTATGTTGCTTCAGTCTTTAGATTCCTCATCAAAGGCAACTTCAAAAATGAAACAACTGCAGAGAGAAATGATATGTAACTGACGTAAATCTTAGTCTTTTTCTTGTTTACTTGGCATCAATGTTCAGTCTCACAGTTAAGAGGGATTGGTGGTTGTTTACTTTTTTCCCCACTATGGTACAACTTAGTGGTGTCAGAAGCCAGAACTTTTTATTTCCCTAATTTTAATCTGTGCTGGTCATATTTTTCTCCTTCACCATTTGCAGACTTCCTTTTCTTGCTCTACCCCTGCTGCCCCTGGGGCCCACTCCATCTGGCTGCACTCCCTTGCTTTCTTGACAACTTCATCCCCCCAAAATGCATGGAATGACTTTATCATCTTTCCCCGTCACATTTCCTCCTGTTATTTCTGAGCAATTTACATTTCCTATGTGATCTTTCAGACTGTCAATGATACTGGTTTTAATATCTGATTAAACTACATTTTCAGCTTCATTTTCTAGTTGCTTAGCTCAGTTGTTTTTCTGCTGTCTTTGTAACACATCTACTCGGTCCTTCTTCTTCCAAATTCCTTCATTCTGTCTACCATTTAATGTAATTCAGCATCATTTGCTTCTCCATGATTCTATTATGTGATGCTTTTGTGACTCCTCTTGCTCTGAATCTGCTCATTTTTTTTAACTTTCTGTAATTAATCATTTGTGTCTTTAGACTTTACGTTCCCCTTTATGAGTACTTTTATTGCTGCATTTACAGATACTGTATTGATACTGGTCAGTGCTCAAGTTGGTCTCCCTGTTATTCAGACATGAAGTAATTATTTTTTTCACTCTCTTTAGGAATAATTTCATTACCCTTTCTGATCAAATTCTCCATAGATAGTAACTTCAGAAAAATCATCAACAGCTTCTACATAATGAGTATCAAAATTCATCTATCAAGTCTTCTAGCACGCCTGTTAATGGTTGGGTTAAGACGTCTTTAGGAAGATACTCGCCTATTGATCTAAAAATCAAGTGATGAAGCAGCCATTATAACCCTTTGGTGAGTAGTCTCAATTAATGACTCGTACTAAAAGTGTGCATCTGATTTTTGGTATGTTGTCTGACTTCACCTTTCAGCTATTGCACTTTGTTTGCTTCAGCTTCCCATACAGGATGAGATCAAACAGTAATTCTGTTACTGAAGAGTGGGAATCTGTCTGTTGTAATGTTTTTCTCTCATTATTTCAAACCCCCTTTTTTGAAGTGTATACCAAGTATAAACAGTATTTAATAATTATTTCATAAATGATACACAAGTAATACACTTTTCTTCCTCTTCTGTGTTCAGCTGGTCACTGACTATTGACCACGCCCTTTAAGTTACTTTTAGGATGTTTTCCCCTACAGACCTGTATACGTGATTTGCAAATGCTATTAGTTGTAATTTTGTATTTTACTGTCAATTATTTTCTCACAAATATGTAACTGGCCATTCAGAATCCCACGAGCAGTCCATTTATTTGATAACAGTTTTCCATTAACAAAGAAGTTAGTTTCAGATGACATTTCAGTGATGCGATATGTTGGGTTTTGGTGCCTCTCTAAGCAAAGTACCTTAACATAGTAAGACACGCATTGTACATATAAGCTATGTTAGGCCAGCAGTTCCTTTTGCAACCTCTTCAAAAAGCTAGATGAAGTTTGACAAGATATTAAAAAACATGATGGTTAGCTTTAATAAATTATTATCCTGTAGTTTTAAAGTGACAATACTAGCTTTTTTTATTATTTTGCTCAAAAAGTGTCAAAATTACCAGAAGTATAATTATTCCTACTGCTCTTCCATTACCTTCCAATTTCCCCCATAAGTTTTCTTGCAATTTTTAGTGGGCGTTTTTTCCCAGTATGTTTTTTTAAACAAAATCAAGCAGTACCTGCACAAACTTGTCTCCTCTTCCATATCTTTGTTTGCCCCTCTTTATCTTCCTCTGTGTCCTTCATTTTACATGTTCTGCAAGTCATGATTTCTTCCACAGCATTGCCCTTCTTTTAGTTTAAATCAGTTTTCTGCTTTGTATTTCTTTGCCTTCAAGAATGCATTTTTTATCCCTGTCTTTGAAAACCCAACCTTTAACTGGCTTCCTCAGTCTCTTAAAGCTTTTATTCTCTTCAGTGGCTCATCCCACCTCTCATTTGTTATGTATTTCCTCCTGGAAGTCTCACCTCCCATTTAACCCCTTCAAAATTAAGCTTTTAAAATACTTACTCCTTCCACTGTCCTCACTGTGCATAGTCCCTAACAGTCAGCCTCCACCTCTTGGACTCAAGCTGTTAAGACCATCTGCTGTAGTGAAAGTGCTGCATCACAAACAAAACTGCACTTTCTGTTTCTGCTGTGGCGCTTCTTTCATACTGCTTGCTCTCCCTGGAATGTTGTCTGTGCTCATTAGTCTCCTTAAAACACACAAATTCCAATACATCTGAACGTATTTCCCACAAACTTTCTACATGTGTCTCCACTCCTGCTATTTTGTTATACTGGGAAAATTTTAGGATAGGGAGCTCTTCACGGGGACTTATTTAGAAAACAAACTACATTTGTGATACTATCTTTTCATTATATGTGATACTGTATGATTTATGTATGATACGGCATCATTATCATCATACTGTTACTAAATGATACGTAGTTCTGAACTCTGCTCCATCTAGCTCAAGGGCTGAGGATAACAAGTGGTTTAATGTTCTTTGGTTTTATTAAACTGTTGGACAGTCTTATGAGGAATTTCAGCGCTCGAGAATAAACTGTTTTGCCTCTCCAAGATGATAATTGCCCCCTTTATGCTATGGCTGGCTGATAGTGCTAGAAATTCTCCTGAAGCCTACCTGCTACAAGTAAAATGAAATTCTCTTTCATTTTTCTCAATTCCAAAGTGTGGAGAAAATGAACTTTCAGGTCGGCAACACGATACTAATGTCAGCTAAGTTCCAGTACATACAGTGAAGATGGGAAGAGTGCAGGAATCCTGGTGAAGCAAAAAGAAAAAATGTGCTGTTTGTTTTTTTGCCTGTAAGGACAGTCAGGCAGGCGGTTTGTGGGTGTGAAAGCTGACTGCCCATTTCTTGCGCTAGCCTGGCCTACAAGCAGGATGAAAAGGTAGGTACTTCATGTTTTTAACTTAAGAAATCTTGTACATATTACCAAATTTACAGCTATGCAGGCATGAGAGAACAAGCAGCACAGAAAAGAAGACGCTGTTCCTCCTCACACAGTGCTGGACCTCACAGCAGTGGTTGCAGAGAGTTTTCTGGGGCTTTTGGCTGTCCCATGCCTGGAAGTGAGTGGTGCAACACTGGAAACACAAGTAAGTCACTTATTTTTTAATACTCTTAATACTGATGATTGGCAATTGATCCAGCTGATTACTTCTGCTAGTGGAAGAAAACAAAAAAATTCAGACTAGCAAACTACAGAAATTGTGGGCACTTGGGACCCTAAGGTGGAAGGCATTTTTAGTCAGTAAGGAAAACTGATGTGGCACACTTCCCAGAGAAGTACTAGGGCTGCAGGATACACTGTTTGAAGAAACTTGTAATTAGATGGAACAGCCTACTCTCAGATACTGAATTGTCACAAAAGTTTCTTGGATTGTCTACACACAAAACTGCTTAGCGTGATCTCTGTCTTAAACCTAGATTTTCTATTTTTATATGAAGGTTGCCCCTTTGTCAACCAGTACTCTACCCGAAAATCATGTTTGTATTCAAAACGTTAGGCTCTTTGTCCTTGAATACTCATTGAAAAAGGTAACTATATTTTGAGCATTCCGAAGAAGGTGCTAAAACATGACATTTCTCAAGGGGCTGCTCTCCACCCTCTACCTGGACACCTAAAACACAGGCAATACAATGCTTGGTAACCAGTCTGTGTGTGTCTCACAGTGAGGTTCTTGTTACTATGACAAACCTCACCTAAGTTCAAAGTGGTAACTGACTGCCAACTTTTCAGGCAAAACCTCTCCTGTAGAAGAGAGCAGTACATCTTTGTCCTCTGCATGATATAAGTTTACGTGTGGTAAGGCTGTCATGTGTTGGCATCCTGTAAAAATAAAATATGTAGAACTTAGCTTCTATACAGACTCATTTAGTCTGGCAGTTATCAGTTAATGGAGAAAATAAACTGCATATAAAATCACTTATTTTATTGAGCCAACTACATTTTCCAAAGGCAGTGTGCCCTTTTTTGGTCAATTTGTTTCAAATTGCCTACTTAATTCATACACTTTTTATAAAGCTTCTGAGAATTAAGTTATACTTGCTAACCTCAATGTGATTTAATTAAGAGTTACAATTCTTTACTTTCAATAGCCCAACTACGCTCCTGTCAAATTTCTCTAAGTTGCTGTCTTAAATGATTTATGGCCCTCTGCAATTCTGTAGCTCAAATTAAAGTGAAACGTCTACAGAACTGCAAAAGGAAAGCATTATTACTGTTTGTTTCTTCCAAAATAAATTTCACACTGAGGTCAAGTAAGGGAGTGCAGTGCATGCAGACTTAATAGTGGTAACCATCACACTAGCCAGCATTACCTGACATTGTTAACTACCTTTCCCTAAAACCACCTACATAGTTAAAAAAAAATTCAGTCTGCAGTTTAAAACAGTCTCAAGAAGTATTTAAAGAGGCTGTAAACTATATCCCCCACATTTCTTGAAAGATCTAATGTATTGGCAGTTCTCTTTCAGTTCAGCTCTGACAGGAATCCCATCTCCTAGAGGCATTTAGTTTTGCCAATCGATACAGTGAATACTGAAGAACTGCAAATGCTTCCTATTGATTCATGTAGCTTACCTGCCTATGATGATAGTACTTTACTGCAGCTGAATGATAATTACTCTCTGAAGTTGCAGGCAAGCAGAACAGAGATCAGTCTCCCCACATAAAGCTGTTTATATACGTAGTCTGACTTACCACCTCATTCACTAAAAATCCATAAATAATGCTTAAATTATATACAGTATCACAGAAGTGGGTCTTTATTCTTCCCACAAATAAATTAGTTTTTTCTATAAAACCAAATGTTAACAGAGTATAAAAAGTAATGCCCTAACAAAACTACAGTACTGTTATCATTCCACGTTGTCTTTGGACTGCTGCAGTAAAATATGTATTCCTTCAAAATACTGCTTCTTCCAACATTGTCTTGTACTGTCTTCACTGGAGACAGGAACTCCGTTGCACTCTAACTGCAGTTCTGTTTGAGGAGCCATGTCCTTGAAATTCAAGGCAACTGTTGCATAATGTTCTGAAGGAAGCAAATATGACATTTCAGTAAAGTCCTTTTTAAAGGGTTACATCTGTTGTTGCTAATTTCTGCTTTTGTCTGTGTCTGAGTAAAGCCTCTTCTCACAGCTAACAACTGCTATGGACATCAGGCTATTCTCCAAAGAATGCAGACTAAGTGAGCTTCCAGTTAGCAAGGCTGTCAGCTGTCACATTTGCTCCTTCTCCCTGTAAAGTGTAGCCTTTATTACGGGTCCTCGAAAAGACTCACCATAAGGCCAGTTTCTACACCTCCACTTCAGGACAATTCTTTGGCTTGGGACCTGTAAGAAGATAAGAAGGTTCTCCCCATTAGCATGGGGATAGTTCACATTATGACTACTCGATGGTAATTCTCCCCTGAAAAATAAGGAGAGGAACATTATCTTATGCAATAGTAGAGACATGCGTGTAAACAATACAAAGATTGGGGTTCTTTTAATAACCTGTTTTCATCAAGCTCTCAGCTTGCTACATTCCACTGTTTTGTTTTCTCTATGGGAAAAGGTCAGGCTGATTAAGTTACTAAACATAAAACATTAGTTTTCTTGCAGACCTTGAAAGGGGTGTAAGAGTCATGTTTTCACCTCTGAAATTTTTAAGCATGTCACGGAATATGCCCATGAATTTTTCTTAAGCAATCCAGCCTGCTTGAATGCATAAGTTCGGCAGTACTACATAGAAATGATTCACAGCCTGCCCTCAGTGCATGTAAGAAGGAGAGGTACTGCTTCAGCATAAGCGTATGCATTGTCAGCTGAAGACTTTAGTCTACATCAGGCTTATTGCTTTCACTAAGCCATTAAGTTAATATTTTGACTGTTTCATCTAAATAGTTCCGTATCTAACTGCAAAGGTTGATGATTGTAACTGACTTCCCTCAGCTTCCATAATGGGATGTAACCACTAAAGGCAATCTCTGGTGTAACAGTTCTGCAGCACGTATGTTTCCAGACTGAACCCTTTCCGGAGTCAACAATCAATTTTGCTAGCTTGAACTGAGAATGCAATTTTCCAAGGCTTTGCTTTTTTAAGACTTGTCCAATTGTCAGTAATACTTACTGCCCATCATCTGGATGGACATCTAAGCTTAGCAACTGTGAAAATGACTTTTCAGAGCTTTCAAAAATGCAGCTGAGCTCTAATTATCAATTTTTCCCCTTTATTTGCAAAAGCATTTGGTCAAGGAGAGTGTCACATTTGCCCTGAATACAAGAGAGATCATTTCTCTGTTTACAAGACGTGATATGGATTTGGGAGATAAACCTGAAACCTGCTTTCTCACTCCTCCTAGTAAAAAAGGATGGTGCCGAGAGTGTTTTCCCCCAGTGCAGGTCATCAGGTGTAGTCAGTGCCTGCTCTTTTGATGGGGAAGAAAAATCACACAACATAATAGCAATTTTGGGGCTTTGTAATAGCGAACTGAATATGCATTAGCAAAGCTGAAATGTCAGAAACTTACCCTACTTTTTAGCTTGGAGAATCAGCTGACACTACCCTCGCCCCGCCCCCCCCATTTTTAAAGTGCAAAGTGGGAGCTTTTTACCAGTTCTTCGTATTCCCCGCTGACGCAACCATCAAACATCTGAAGTTTGCCTCCTTTCTCTGCTTCAATCACAGCGGGATATTTAGAAAACTTCTGCACCAACTAGCAAAAAAGAATACAGCACAAGACAGCTAACTACGAATCTGTACTGACACATAATGCACCACATGAGAGAATGGAGTTTTGCTGAAGAAATTAACGAAACTGTAGTATATGTAAAACTCTTCAAGCACTAATCAGGCTTTTCATTTTATGCAGCACTCCACTGAGATTGGTGGTAGTAGCAGGGGCCAGCGAGGGCACAGAAAGAGAATGTAAATGCTGACAAACCTGTGGTGGTAAATGCAAAGACCAGTAAAGACTGTAGCCACCTGCAAGAGGCACAGACAAAGCACGTACATACATACACGTGACTGACTGTTGGTAGATTTGGAAATGAGGGAGACAGAGCAGCAGCTCTAGGAAGGTGCAGAATTGCTGCTCAGTGCCATTATTTTTTCCATGGGTAGCATTGGGATTGTAATTTCAATTTCTCCGATACCAGCCCAGGCTCTTTTGAAGGACACAAACCAAAAATTAAGTGATTTTATATTTCATACCCTGTAAGCAACAATATCATCACATCCAACCGTTAATGTAAGCTGTGGATAACAACAGTACTATTACTGAGCACTTCAGGCTCCTGAATGTCAGGTTCTTGCATAAAAAAAAGCAAAACTTTTTCTAACTAGCAGAGAGCATGACTGAGCTGCACACAAACTACATAAAGATGCAACTTCACTTTGTTTAGTTGGCTCTTCTACCTATTAAGGTAACAACTGGCAAATAAAGGTCTAAGTCACCCTAATAAGCTCTCGTTAAAAAAGTTGAAAGTGGAATGCTCCTACTGCCATCTTCCAGTGCTTGTTGATTGCTATCTTACTGCCAAGTTGTCAAGTTCTTGAGGTCAGCTACCCAGCCTTTGTTCCTTGCTCGGAACCAAACTGACAAACTGACTCAGTCCTTTTGCATTTTCATCACTGAAATGCCTCAGTAGCTTAAAAGGTGAAGCTATTCAGCAAAACTTGAAGAGCAAATTATGACAATTACAAATACTCAGTGAGGTTACAAGAAAAGGGTAGCTCATTAATCCTTCAGTTTCTGCAAGACCGCTACCAATGTGACACATTTATTACTTACATAACTATTCAGATATAACAGCATCTTCATTAAGTTATATTGCCTACTGAAAGTATCGCTTACTTCCTTAGTTGTGAAGATGCTATAAAATTTGTCTGCTGGAGAGTTGAATATTTCTCTCAAAAGTATCTTCACTGTTGGAATTTTTACACCAACTATATCCAAAGACTGTGGTGAAACAGAATCCTGCAATGCAAACAATATTCATGTGAATGAGCACAAGGTCGAACATTTAAAAGTTCTGGAGTCGGAGGATTGTTGTTACCTGTGCATTCTTAAACATACTGTGAATATACATCAATTATACCACCTCCATATTTATTTAACAGTATTATTAATCTAAATCTATTATTAATGTAATCACTAAATTAAATCTGATGCATCATTTCTGTGTTACAGGCCTTTGTCACAGCAATGAGGAGGCAGTTCCACCCCAAAGGCTCTCACTTTTGCAGGTAATCACAGGAGTATGCAACTGTTACCACAGCAAAATCTGCAGGGGCTACATGTGTGGTAATATTAAATGCATAGAACACTTTAAGCCAGCATACTTGCATGGTGTTTCCACTTAGTTTTTGCTCAGCAGCCAGCTCCTGACCAGCAGTAGCTTTTGTTGGCAGAAGCATTCCCAAGGTAAACTCTGCAATAAAGAAAAGCACTCTTCAGTATGAAACTGAGCCGTACAACCACCCTGACGTTTACACGTGTAATGACGACTGCTGCCCAAAACTGCAGAACTGGTAAAACTGTATAGAATGGGAGCACAGAATGGGACATATGACTCAATCCACTTTCCCCAGCTTACCCATACATTTTTATCAGCAACAGAGCCTAACAGCAATTTCAATTAAAAACACAGGCTTTTTCAAAGTTACCCGACCCAAAATTAGTACCATCTGCCCATTAAGGAACACACCATCTCCATGAACTTCTGAATAGTACAGCAGAGAAACAACAAGCTGAGAGCTGGGCGCCACTTTGCTAGCCAACCAGTCAGACTGTAGGTCTGACAGCAATCTCTGTGGCCACTATGTGTAACACGATGCAGCATGTGTCACTACAGGAACTGCTGGATGCTGCCACATTTGATAGCAATAAAGATTCTGGCTGGTGGGACTAATTTCATCTCAGCTGGTGACAATTAAAAACCAATACAAACCCAATGCCTTGTCAGTATATTACCAATCTATTCAAGAAAGAAGACTGCATAAAAACACACCTAATATATTGGTTTAATTTACCTGTTTTAAGTGCTTTCAGGTAATCTCTCAGAGCTGCTCTGACTTTTATGGTTCCTTCAGTTCTCATAAGCTCCTTCAGAACATCGCCTTCCCCTTTCCTTTTGCTAACGTTTATCTAGCAACAGAAAAATCACAAGATCTAAGAGACGCCTAAACATGAGCCTAGTAAAGTATTTTGGCTTTGTTTACTACATTCAGAGGACAGCTGCAACTTCAAGTACCTTTCCTAAAAATAAGTCCTCTTGGGTTTTGACTTAAGTAAATGTAGTATCGCATCTGCATGGTAGCTTAGGTTCATCAAGCATAAACAGAGTTGCCTGCTACACAGCAGAGGTTGAGGAATCTGTGGAAGCCACAGTACAAATAATGCTACACAACCAACAAGGAGATTCCCGAAGTTCTTAGGTTTTGGAGGGGTCATTTGCTCGGGTTTTTTAAGACTCTGACAAGCAGAGTTGTTCTCAAATTTGTAGTGAATATATTGTCACAAACAATAATTAGCAAAGAAAATTGTATACATTCCTAGTAGGTATATTTGAAAACAGAGAGAAGTCATCATTCCAAGCATAAAAACCGAAATCATGAAATAAACTATCCAAGTGTAATTATCCCACATAATGACAGGATAAAACAAAATATGATGCCTATACATTGATTAATGCTTTAAGAATTCTGAATCTATATAGCCATATCAGTATTTCACACCTACTTCTGTATCATTGACCTCATTTTCTTCTGACAGGTTAGGAATTTCAACAGATCCCTTATGTTTCTCCCCAGACTCTTTCACTCTACCTATATTAACATAATGAATTCTTAAATGCAGTATTAGTAACTATTTCCCCTGTAGGAAGAGTTTTATCTTGGAAATTAGTTGTATGAAAGTGTTACTTGGAGCAAGCTGCCTAGAATCTAATTTAAAGGAACTAAATAACAACCCAAGGTCTCAAACACATCACAGTACCTTCATAGTAAACAGTTCTCAGAACTGTATTTATTTTCATGTATAGATGCATTCAAGTATGTACATGCACACAGGTACATCTGTCTGTCTCAGCACAGTTTGCCAACTGTTCTGCCACCGCTCTCACCTTAAATTTTCAGCTGGCCTAACACTCTCCACTTACAACAACTTATGTCTACCAACACAGAATACGAATCTAAAAGGGGGTAAGGGGAAAAAACCCTCCTCTTCCCATAAATCCATCGGCCCTTTATTTAGAAGCCCTCTAGAATGCTAGCTATTCCTTCCTGAATGTCTAAAAAGCTCCCAACATACAAGTATGTCACGATAAAACAAATGTATGTATAATGAACTGGCATACAATTGAAATTTTTTACAAATATGAAACTTCACTTCCAGATTTTTTAGAACAATTGTTCCTACTCTTAGTAGCTTTATACGAACTGCCAGTAATCACTGTACATGTCAGAAAGTGGTGCCCAGCGACAGGACAAGGGGCAACAGGCACAAATTGAAGCATAGGAAGTTCCATCTGAACACAAGGGAGTGTGACGGAGCACTGGAACAGGCTGCCCAGAGGGGTTGTGGAGTCTCCTCTGGAGATATTCAAAACCGGCCTGGACGAGGTCCTGTGCAGCCTGCTTTGGCAGGGGGGCTGGACTAGATGATGCCCAGAGAACCCTTACGATTCTGTGATCTTTGTGGGCAAAGGCCTGCCATCACTTACTGACACAGCTCTATGAACATGGTCTGGGATATGAACCCTGTACTGTACTTCTTTGCCTCAGTCCTTACTGTAAAAAGATTGAATTTAAGGTCTGACATTTTTTCTCTTTCCACTGAAGACTCTTTCC